AATCAATATTTCCAAGATGTTTTTGTTATTTTTTACAATTACACCTGCTCTGTCATTAATAAACTATGTAACATCTTTTTCATATTTCAATACATGGGTTATGATACCCATGCAGACCATGCTCATATCTTAACAAGGTTTATGGGTGGATGTTATTTTGCATATCTTTCAAGCATACAAAGAGGGAAAATACAAAATGTAAATTTGATTTTTTTAAACTATCATTTTAAGTATTTTCATGACAACCTCTGATAGCTAGCTCAACCAAGAAAATTCCATTATACTAACAATTCTATATCAAATAAAACTAGTACCATAAAAAAGGTCAATGAAACATTAAAGATTTATATATTAACATCCACATTTCCCTTTTTTTATGATGATATAATTGTTAAAAACCATTCAAGAAGTTCATGAATATTAATCCTCTATATATATTTACAATGACCAATGGTCCATCTCAAAGCATAAAAAAAGACATGTTTTCTACCCTTTCATATAGCATATGACATCTTCATTTCCAAAAAGTTGAATTAGTAAGAAAGTAAGAACTAGAAAAGAATACATATTAAACAAAGAGATGTAAGACCTACAAATGCTATATTTATTGACAATTTAACATTTAAATAATACTATCTCATCTCGACTTTTAATAGCTATAGAGAACAATTTGATTCTTGTCAAGTTTGGGGAAACTAAGCAATAATCCTTTAAGCTAGTTCTATAACTTGCTCACAAATATAAAATTTTCAAGCATTCTTTATAAATGCTACTTGATACAATACTCAAACTTTTCGTGCATATAAAATAAAAACTAAGCAATCAAGATGTTAAAATGAATATATAAAGAATCAATTCATATGTTCTAATTTTTTAAAGATTTCAAGTTTGAATTAGTTAGATTCTTCACTAGTTTATTCCCATTCAAAGCAAGCTACTGACTAAAAAGCATGCTAATCCAAATATTAAAATTTTACCACAACCTTTTGATTTTAGTATACACTTATAAGAACATACTTACAAAAAAGAGAAAAAAAATGAATATACACACCTAATTTTGTTTGAACAAAATTTGACCATTTGTAAAACCCTTTAAATATGACCTAGTTCACATCCAGTATTTTTTAAATTTTAACAAGTTTTTAAGTTTAAAATTAGGACCAATTTGACTTAAGTGCCTTAAGGTCAAACTTGAGTAAAATTGGTTAAAATCAATCAATCGGATTGAACTCGAGTCAATTTTTCAAAATTCATAACCAAATGGGATTAATCAACTTTGGGAATAATATTTGTGATTTTAAAGCATTGAAAATTTTGATTGCACTTCGAAATCGATAAAATTATTGAAATATAATTAGGGGTATTATCGTAATTTGATTTTTTTAAAGTTAGATTTTCGTGAAAACTTTTAAGCCATGATTTTATAATATTTGATGATTTTTTATGCATTAAAAACCTTGATCACACATTAAGAGGTGTGAAATTATTAAAATATCCTTATAGGTATTTTCATAAATTGACTTTATCATGGTTAAAATTCTCTCAAAAGCTCCAGATCATGATTTAATATTATTTGATGATTTTTGAAATATTGAAAACCTTGATTGTACCTTAAAATGTGCGAAATTACTAAAATACTCTTTAAGGGTAATTTGTAATTTGACCTTTTTGAAGTTGTTTTTCGTGAAACATTCTAGATTATGTTTTTAAATTATTTGATAATTTTGGGTGCATTAAAAACCTTGGTAGCACCTTAGGAGATGTGAAATTACTAAAATACCCTTTTAAAGATAATTTCATAATTTGACCTTCTAAAAGTCAAATTTTTACAAAAATTTTCAGATCTTAATTTCATATTATTTCATGATTTTTGGTACTTTAAAATTACAAAATGAATAAGAGAGCACTGTTTTATAAAAAATGGCTTAGAAATTGAAAACTTTCTAATAGGGGTAAAATGGTTTTTACATTTGGTTTCAACAGTATTAAAAATCTAATTTTTGGCAGTGAGTATTCTCAATCATAAGATGATTGTGAGGAGCTTGATCCAATACTGAAAGATGGCTCTTTAAAGAAAAAAGAGATGAAAATGGACTATTAGATACACTTTCAATCCAAAGGCTAACATTTATTTTTAAAAGATATTTCCATTCTCTTATTTAGGAGGGAGATACACGATTTGCAAGATGAGGGGAAAAGGCTGGAACGAAAAAAAAACAAAGGAAAAAGTTAAGGAAAAAAGTGAAAAGAGAGAAAGACATAAAAAAGAAAAAAAATCTGAAGAAAGCTTGGATGAGGTATAATTCCTATTTCTTTTTCTTACATTTCATTACATCTTTATCACATTTTTATAACATTTTGATATATCTTTTTTTTATATATATTTTTCTGTTTTCTAGAGAATTTTTTTATTCATTTTTTTTTATTCAGAGCTTGGATTAAATTTCATCCAACTAGTTCATAGTTTGGATTAAAGTTAGAAAGTCAAGCAACAAAGAACACTAATCCACCATTTTTGGCCTTTGGAGGTTCAGCCAACCTTGATTCACCATGGCTAAATCTTTTTTGGTCTTCCATTGATTTTTTTTGCTTTTAAATGTTGTTTGTGGTGATTAAATTGTAAGTTCATTTGTTATTTGCATGAATTTTAACTAGTTTATGATGCATGTATGTTATTTGGCTTTGAATGTTTGGTTCCATGGTATCCTCACTATTTTAGTTCAATATATATTTGATAAAACTTCTCTCATGATGTAAATGTCTTTAAATGACGAATATTGTGATGTTGAATGCATGTTTGAGCTAAGTGAAATGAAAGTATGTTTGTGGGATGCCATAGGAGGGTTTCAACAAGCTCTCCTATGCTTTGATCAAACCTTTTTTCTTTGTTCATGGCCAAACAATGATTGTTCCATCCTTGCTTGAATGTGTTTTTGCTTGGTTTATCAAGTTTTCAATATGTTTGATTTAATTTTCTATGAATAAAATGTTAGTTTAATAGGTTGTTTAGTGATTTTTGTGTCTATTTGATTGATTTTTAAAGAGAAAAAATGGTGGAACATGTTTTTCAAAATTTGAAAAATTTTAATGTTTGATCCATTTTTCTAATGTTTTCACATACACATCTAGTTTGTAATTTAGTTTTGTAATTACTTAAATTTGTAATTAATTTGTTCCCTTATCATGCATTTTTCATTCACCAAATGTTTACATTTTTATCAATGTCATTTTTTGTAATTTACTTCTGTCACATGTATTTTCTCATAAAACCTTAAATTTGAAACCCTAAACTTGAACTAAACCCTAAACTCTAAAACCTAACCCCAAAACCCTAAACCTTAAACTTTAAATCCTAAATCTTAAACATTAAATCCTTAACTCTAAACTCAAACCAAACCCCAAACTCTAAAACTAACCCTTGCCTCATTCATACATTTGTATTTCATTTTACTCTAATTTTACATGCATTTTCAAATTGTCATGCATTCATATCTTGTCATGCATATCATGTATTCATCTTATATTATGTTTGTACATATTATGCATATGTTTTCAAGTGAGCCTTTTTTTAAAAGAAAAATATTTTGAATAAGATAATATCTCAATTAAATATAGTTATTAAGATTTAGCCTAAATATAGAGGGACTTTCGATAATTATTATTTATGCGAGATCTTATTTCGATTTTGTGAGGCAATTTGAAAACTCTCAAGTGAATGATATTTTTGAAACTCTACCTAAATACAAGAGAGTAAAAAAGGTGTCTTGATATGTAATGTATTTTTACTTTGATCTTAAAATAAAATGTTTTGTTTTTAAAAATTAATTTATTTAAAAAATAAAACAAAATTCAAGCTTTTTATGAATTAATGGAAAAATGAATTAATTTCTAAACGCTAAAATGGAACCATTTTAACCAAAATATAAAGATAATATGTAATAAATTAGTACCGTCTTCAATGAACGTTATAGGGGTATTAATTTTTTCCTACGCATAACCGACTCCTGAACTTTAAATATGATTTTGCAAACCTCAATTTGTTTTTTTTTATAAGATTTTAAAATCTTTTAAATGTTTTATCAAAACGAATAAAATTTTTTGAGTGGGCAATCACATTTTAAAAAAAATCGGTGGGGGTTTCTTGTTTTGATTTTATAAAAAATGCTTCTTTAAGCCCTCCGCTTTCCAAATTTTCTATTCGTCTGGTGCTCAGGCATTTCTCCGATCCCAAATTGTCGTAACAATGAAAAATAAAGAAAAAAAAAATCAATACCTAAAAAAAACCCTTGATATTTTGCTATTTGAATAGAGAGGGAGGTGTGAATGAAGTGTGGCTATTTGAATGGAGGGAAAAGAGGGTTTGACAGATGAGGGAAGGAAAAGCTTGATCAATGATGATGGTTCGTGTAACGTTTGACAAGAACCAAAATAAATAGGGAAAATAGGAGAAAAAAGAAGGAATGTTAAAAAAAAAAAGCTAGAAAACCAAAAAGGGGAAGAAAGAATAAAAGGAAACACAAAACGACAATGAAAAATTAAAAAAAATATTTTTGCGGAGCAATTTATTCGAAACTAAAACCTTTGTCTCAAAATTGAAAAAAATTTTAAAGTCTCTTGTTTTCATCTTCTATATTTTTCTCAAACATTTTCATTGAAAAGATTGAAATCAATGTTTTTTTATTCTCTAAATTTAGTCTATTTTTTAATTTTTTAAAATACATTTTTTGTTTTTTTAACCAAACAAGTTTTTCACTTATTTTTTATTTTTTATGACACACTTAGATTTTGCCAATAAAAACCTCCTAAAAGGGTAAGAATAAAATAAATAAAATCATTGATTAATTCAAATATAATTATTTTTAATTCTTAAAAAATTAATATTTTAAAATAACTATATTAGAGCTACCATTACAATTATATGTAATTTAAGATTATGATTTTTTACTTTTTTTTTTTTTTCAAAAAAATAGCCCACGCATAATGGAGAATCATTCTAACTTGGCTCATCGATAGCCTGACTTTTATACCTCCAATCAAATATACCTATTGAAAAAGGGGTAATATACGGGGGACGGAGAAACACATTGCAGTGCCAAACTATTGACTCGCTCTCGCTCCCTCTCCAAGCTACTTTTCACCTAACACCAAAAAAAAAAATAAAATTATGACGGCCTTGAAAATATGCCGCCTTTGACCACTCACAAAGTTCCCGTTCTATGCATAAATAATAGAGAGCATGAAAACAGAAGAAGACTTTCTGTTGAGAGTAGATGGCGAGGAAAGCCGCCGAGTCTGTGGTTGAGTCGATTGGATTGGGATACGATCTGACCCTTGATCTCAAGCTCAAATACTGCAAGAAATCCTCAAAGTTGATAACCATCGCCGATCATGATCACGTCCGCGACATCGCCGTTTCTGGAGGGATTTTGGTTCGTAATGTTCCCAAATCTATCAAATGCGATAAGGGGGAGCGGATCAGGTTCACATCTGATGTCCTCTCTTTCCAGCAGGTAGCTACCTGCCTTTTCTTTTTAATTTATTATTATTTGAAACTGAATATAACTTTATTCCTATAAGTTTTATTTTTACATATATATTTGTTTCTCTTACTTGTAGATGTCAGAGCAGTTTAACCAGGAACTCTCCCTGTCTGGTAAAATTCCTTCGGGCCACTTCAATGCTGCATTCGAATTCACAGCAGGTTGGCAAAAAGATGCTGCCAACACTAAAACCCTCGCTTTTGATGGCGTTTTCATAACTCTTTACAACATTGCATTAGAGAAATCCCAGGTCATGCTGTGTGATCATGTCAAACAAGCTGTCCCTTCATCATGGGATCCTCCTGCATTGGCTAAGTCAGTATCTTCTTTCCACCATTCTTCTCAGTGTATTAATTTTTGCTTTGCATAGAAGAATTGTTGTCAAGCTGATTAAGTGCATGGTTTCTGCTTAATTTGATGATAATTCATGGTTTCTAGTTCTGGTTGTTATTGATAATTTCATTATTTCACAATCCCCTGGCAACTAATAAGTTTTAGAATTAGCAATCTTTTGGGTATTATCATCTCTATCTTATAAATTTGGGTATTTGAAATAAAGAAGGTTTATGTCACATTAAGCCAATATGTAATTCATCAGCCCCATGATGAGGTGATAGTTTTATTATTTTGGAGGTTAAATTAGTTGATAAAAGTTGTTAATATACTTCCAAACTATTCTATTTTATAAATCATTCTTCATAAAAAATGCATCTTATGGCTTTCTGTTAAAGGAAAATTTGCCTTTTCTGGAGGGTTTTTTAGTTTCCAAACAATGATTTGATGAATCTTTAATATTTTTCCTCTATGTACTTGGACTTCTAGGGAGATAAAGTTTTGGTGCTGTTACTATTAGTATATTTAATTTAATGGGTAATTTACATAAATATACCATGTGGTTTGAGCCGAGATAAATTTGCCCCCTGATGTTTTAAAAGTAACACTTAACCACCTTGAGATTTTTTTTTTTTTCAAGATCGTATCTTTTATTGTTACTTTCCAATATTTAATCACCATTTCCAAATAAACTTTGGCTTCTTTTCTATCTCTAAAACCCAAAAACTCTGGTCATCTCTAATCTTCAAGAGCTTATGTAAAAACCTTTACAAAGCTAAAGCTTTTTTATTATTATTTTTTTAAAAATTCAGCCTTTTCCAAATGCAAGTTTTTGACATTTTTTATTAATTTGAAAATGGGTATGGATGTAGATTTAATCATCTGTCATTTAAAAGAAAACTTTGATGTTAAATGTAATGGCAATTACAAACTACCTCAATTTTCTTTCATGATTTTTTTTTCTTTTTCTTTTGTTCTTTCTCCATTTTTTATGTGTTGAAAATTTTAGAGAAATAAAAAATTTTTATTTGACTTGAATCCAAATCCCTAATTTTGAACCCAATTTTTTTTGGTGTAATTTTTAACAAAAAATTACACATACTAACCCAAAATCTAAAGCTTGAAATCCGTAAAACACATGAATCCTATTAATTGAAAACTTTTAAACATCTTAAAAAATATCAAAATTTACTCTTGATCAAACTTTAACCCATGTTTCCTTTAGCAAATCGCAAAATTAAACACCAAAAAGTGAATATTGATCGGCAAACCAATATTCATTATGTGTGCAATAATGAATCCAAATAAAAAATCATGATGGAGAAACCAAATAAAAAATTACAAAGGGAGAAAATAAAAAGAGTAGTGTGCAATCAAGATTAAACGAAAAACGAGAATGGAGTACAACTTTTACCAATTCATTTTACTTGGTAGATCTTCAAAATATTTGAAAAAAAACTGCAAAGATTTTAGATGAAGATAGAGCGAAGGAGTAGAGGTTTAAATGGAGATAAAGAGAGGAAAAGAGCAAAAAATGTTTTTTGGAAACAAGAAAAAAAAAGAAACAATAAAAAATTAAAAAAAAAACCACATGGGAAACAAAGGGACAATAGAGTTAACGATGTTAAGTTTGATACTAATGAAGGAAATTAAGGGTGGTTAAGTGTCACTTTTTAAACATTTGGGAGCAAATTTATCCCGCTTCAAACCACAAGGTATATTTATCTAGTTTACCGTTAATTTAATAGTTGAAAGATGTGTGACTTTGTTTCAAACCTTCTCCTTAATTATTGCTGCAATCATGTTTGATTCATCAAATTTTTAAATCTCATTGGACTTCAATCTTGTTGCCATATTCTAGGTTTATTGAGACGTATGGAACCCATGTTATTGTTGGTGTGAAGATGGGTGGAAAAGATGTTGTATATATGAAACAACAACATTCATCAGTTCTCCAACCGATTGAAGTACAAAAGAAATTGAAGGACTTGGCAGACAAAATGCTGATAGAAGAAACTCGACATAAAACCAAGAGAGAAAAGGTTAGCAACATCAAATTTTTTCTTGTAAATTGGATTGACTGTAATTTGACTCAAATGAAATATAAAGAAAATACTGATGTTAGCTCAATATCAAGTGATGCAGTGCAGACATAGAAACAGCAAATGTGAATCAAAATAAATTCTAAAATTGATGTCAAATTGAAGTTGAAACAAGAGCACTAGGTTTTAGGCATTTAGAACCACTAACTAATAATATCCAACTTTATTACATGTGGTAAAAGTGTACAGAAAACTACTTGTACAAGAGTTGAACTTTTGATCTAAATACTGGATACAAATAAACCTAATTTAATCGAAAATCAGTTTAAAATAATCTAAGCATCTATATATACAAATATTGAAAGAATTGAAGCTATAAGAACACTGAAAAAAAAAACTTGGTTTAAATATTGGTCATTTGTGGGATAAATACCAGATTTGTCACTATACTATGACTCAATTTTGAATTTCTTTTGTTGTACTTCAATTGCATTGAATTTGCTGCCATACTTCTATTTTGGTTGATTTTTGGACAAAAATTCTGTGGGATATTTTGTTTGCGCAATTTAAATAAGTTTTTGGAAAACAGAAATTATCATGTGGAATTTAACATTGGACAAAATGTACTCATGTGTTCAATGATTACTCTAATGCTTTAGAGAGAGAAAGGATAGAGAAATCAACAATAGAATTTTAAAGATGTTTGGCACCTATGTTTTCTCCCTTATTTTCCTGTTGAATTCACTAATAATCAGCAAAATTACTCAAACTAGATCTCAAGGCTAAGATATAACCTCTATAACTATTGCATATGAAGGTTAAATTATATTTAAGTTTTATCATTACAAAAATCAATTTAAGGCTAACAACTAATAATGATTCTTCTTGATTAGAATAAATTCAACTCATATTTAAACCATTTTCAATTTTGGAGAAAATAAATTCAAAGCATATTTTAATTTGAAAATCCTATTAAAGTTTTGCCTTTTCAATCTCAGGTTTAGGTGAATAGCTAATATGATACTACTTGATTTTATGCAAGCAAGGAGAGCCAAAAGATCATTTAGTTCCCGCATTCATCAAGTCTATAGCCTTACTTTAATCTTTCACTTGGATTTTGGGCTTGAATTAGCTTCGAAGTCCTATTATAGGTTTACTTATTATGTATGAATATGACTTGATAGTGGTGAAATATCTGAATGAAATATTTTCTTTTACATTTCCAAACTGGTTGGCACAAAATTTAATCCTTTCCAATTCCTTTGTGTACCTGTGAATCTGCTGACTGTCGCAATTTTTAGCTCGATTTTTTTTCAAAGTTGTACAAGGAATGCCATCTCAGCCTCCAAAATGTTGGGTGCACCTGCTTTTGCTCAAGTGTGATTTCTTCAATTATCTTTCATGTTTGACTACGTAGAGCCTTAGAAACTTGAATGGATCTTGTAACAAACTAAGGGGCTTGCAGGGATAGATTTTTAAGTGACTTCTTTTTTCTCAGTGTGTTTGAGGAAGGTACTTGATCAATAATTTGACATTTGCTTATACCATAGCACTGGAGAGAGTCATGAACTTGATCAAGAATGTGAAATTTTCTTAGATGAAGTTTAGCATTTTCCTTTTTCCATGAGTGATAAATCCTGGCAGTCCACGATACATTTGGGCAATCTAACTTTAAAAGTTTGGCCATTGTGATTCTTCCTAGCTCAACTTACCACCCAATTCTTTTCCCTCTTTGAATGCAAGACAACATTAAAATCTCCCTCATTGCCTTTGAAGAAGCACATTAGAGAAAGGGATTAAGGCCAAATTCCACTCTATGAACTCAATCATGAATTTTTCCATTGTACTTCAATGTCTTCGAATTTTGCCATTATACTTTCAATTTTATTGATTTTTGGACAAAAAGTAATGGAATTGATGGAAATTTGGTGCATGCATTAATGAAAATATTCCGTATAATATTCCAATTCCATTACTTTTTGTCCAAAAATCTACAAAATTGAGAATATAGTGGCAAAATTCAATTAATCTGTAATGGTAAAATTTAATCTTGAGCGTATAGTTGTTTGCAATCTACAAATTATATTGAAATAACTAACCCACTTGGTCTGCTTGGTAGCATTTTATATTGCATTAGTTGCAAAAGCATACATGGATACATTTCAATTTTCTAACTTCTATGATGGTTTTTCTTTCAGGTTTTTAAAGAAAATGGGCTAGATTCCATGGACATGTTTCCAACCAGTTCTTATTCTCATGTGGAGGTATGCTAGTTCTAAATAAGTTTATATTGGAAATTTAATGTTTATGGAATGAATGACCCTATTCAGCTCTTGTCTTTATACATGCTACAAATGCTCTTAATTGCCTCTTAATATCCTCTTATCAAACTCTTGATTATTGTCAAAACATATTTTTCTGTTTAGGAGCTTTGTATAATGTCTTAAACATTTTGCAGTTGCAGGATATTAAATTCATTTGCAAAAGGAAAGGAGGAAAGTTGAATACAAGTTCATGGCACAGTGAATGGTGTCAAACTGTTCAGTCTGAACCGGATGTGATCTCCATGTCTTTTATCCCAATCACATCATTGCTTACTGGAGTTAATGGGAGTGGATTTTTGACCCATGCCATCAACCTATACCTTCGTTGTACGTGCAAATCTTAATTCATTATTATTTTACCTATTGCTTTTCAACAAATGTATGGTTACCACCTGGACAACGCATTGAAGTTTCCAACAAGTATTTTTACTGCATAAGTCATGCACAACAAAAACCAAAGCTTATTGTCTGGCTGACAGTGTCTTTCGTTATCATTGTCTTGATGAGTATTGTCTAAATTAATCATTCTACTTAGGATGAATTTGTTTGTTTCTCTAATCTCTGGTTAACTTGTGTTGGCCATTGAGATCATTTTAAGGAAAAGGTTCTCCATTGTGCATAACCTAAGCTGCATTTTTCCAAAGCATCATCTGTCTATAATAAGCCTCTTGGGTAAGCATTTTGTAGAATCCAATCTAGAGAAAGGTGTAATTGGTTGACATTACAAAAGTAGGCTACACCTCTGGTAGAGACTATTATTATTACCCATACCCTTCAGGTTGATATCAACCATTTCTGTTGCCGGTTTTTTTTAACTGCAGTACTGTCTTTGGAGACTTAATGAAAGAAAAGACCATTTACTTTTTCAGTTTGCTCCTAAATAATTAGTGCTAATGAGTGAAAACCCTACATTTTTATTAGTTTCAATCATCTACTTCTTTCAATCAAATATCCAGATTAATCTTTCTTAACTAGCTCTCGCTTAGACTTTAAATGTGGCAACTCCTGTGGATTTGGAAGGATATGGTTGTAAATAGAATTGATTCTGGATTTGTGGCAAGATCCTAAAACTAATCCTAGATTAATGGTTTTAAACATATTTTGCTTTGTGTGTTGGATTTGGTTTCACTAATAGATCCTTAATCTTCCTTGACCTTTCAAAGGGATACTCACGTTACACTCTACTTGATGATGCATGGCTCCCTTTCATTTCTTCCTTGAAAAAATTAGAAATTGGTCAAAAATTTCTTAATCTGACTATTTTATCTGCTTTGATTCGGTAAGAGAAGTAGGTTCCCCATTTTCCAATTCATCACATCCTTTATTTCATACTATTATATCCTACTTGCATATGCATGTATACTTCATTCTGTGGCACATCATCTTATTCCATCCCTTGCTTGCCAATAAACTTGATCATTGATATGTGGATGATCCAAAAAATCTAAACTAAGCATGGAGTGTGTTCAATTTCATATTGGGGGTTAATTTTAGTATTTGAGTCATCTATTAGTGTTAAGTAGTTTTATTCATGAAGGATGATAGAAGTAGCATTGGCTTTTAAGGTGCCTTAATAAGATAAAAATTAAAGGCATGTTACTCACAGTCAAGAATTACGACTCTAGTCTAGGTTTATTACATAGTACACTGTTATGAGCTCTTGCATAAATTTTTAATCTCTTATTCAGAATTTCGGTTTTGGGATTTTCTTGTGGCTTGTTTCTTAACCATAAAATCACTTATATATATTTGGAGCTTCAATTGTATATTGGCATAAAGGCCAAATTTGCCCCTATTCAGTGGGTGAATTTTGAATTTTGCCATAGTACTTCAATTGCATTAAATTTTGCTATTATACTTTAATTGTCAATGATTTTCGGACGTAAAGTAATGGAGATGGAATACTCCACTATTGTAGTTAAATTCTTGGGAATATTCCGTCTTTGTTAACTTTTGTCCAAAAGTGATAAATTAGAAATTAGTGGCAAAATTCAACATTGACCCATAATATATTGGCAAATTTGCCTTTAGTGCCTTGTAATTTTTTTTTTTTTTTCATTTTCTTGGAGGAAAAAGGTTTGAATTAAGAATAAAATAACCGCTGTATATTGTTAACAGAAGCATTCTTGCCTTATCATGCAACTCGATTATTCAGGATTTTGTTTCGTCTTTGTGTATAGTGTCATTATCAAATCTGCATTTCATTTCCACTTTACATGGTTAATTGGTATCTGATGGTAATTTTTGTTATGTAAAAGTGCCAAATATCCTCACACCATTCTTTTAATACATAGGTTCTGATTTTTTTAAAAATTTTTAAAATAAACAATATGTATCCCTTGTTAATAGAAAACTGATCACCTTCACAAGTAGGAAAACACCCACTTTTTTCTACATGATCAGTATTATCATTTTCATCATACAGTCTGAAGCTAAACTTTGGGTTATTTTCATCTTGAAAGAAAAAGAAATTAAAAATATATAAGTTGCTAGATTTATGTTTGTCTTCACTGTTCATTTTTCTTGGTGTTTTCCAAAATTTGCTTCTGGTATAAAGGAAATGTAAGCCATTATTCATTTATTTTCCTTTTAAATACAGATAAGCCTACAATAGATGAACTACACCAGTTTTTGGAGTTTCAGCTTCCAAAGCAATGGGCTCCAGTGTTTGGTGAGCTGCCCCTTGGTCCTCAAAAGAAGCAACAAAATAGTGCATCATTGCAGTTTAGCTTCATGGGCCCCAAGCTTTATGTTAACACAACACCGGTAATATTCCCAGTCTTGTATATGGCCCTTCTGCCATTTCCAAAATAAAAACCAGTGATAAGCATGGTAAAACTATCATGGACATTTTGATGTGATAATTTGTCTTGGTGCTCATGTCGCATGTTAACTCGTTAATTGTCACTTCAAGTGCATGGCATTAATGGAGCTTAAATATAAATCAAATTACAAAGCAAAGATGACTTACCATAGCCTCTTTTTTGTGCTATGTTAATATTTGCTATCCACAGGCATAGTTAAAAGTATATCCTAACTCCCTTGGACTCCCTTTAACCTATGATTTTATTTGGTCATATAAGAGAAATGTTCTCAAATCCTGATGTGAGTTAAATAGGGCAGAACTCATTGTAGAAATGGATTTGCTCAAGCCAGTGAGACATCCAAATGACCAAAAATGTGATATCCAATTCAGAACTATTATGTTTAAGTTCGGACAACAGCAAAAGTGCCATCATGTTATGGATATACACACACACACACACACACACACATATACATATGCAGACTAAGAATTGTTGGAGGATAAAAGAGTTTTAATTACACTCTAAAATCACCACTCTGTTATTGTTGTTGTTATAGGCGAGGTATTATTCGGTATTGGTGGGTAATGTTGTGATTTAAACTTATCTGAGAATAGGTGCTTTGTGTGCTAGAGAATATGTTGCAACCTAGGGATTTGCTGGGTGTGTTATTATAACTACATTATCAAATTGAGGGAGCTAGGGATTAATAGGCTTTTTTTTTTTTTATGAATTTGATTTTGCAACTTGAGTTTGCAGTTTTTGGGATCTTTGTTTGACTTTTTTTAGATGCAAGGTTTGGGTTTCATCCTACAAGTTCCTTTAAGGCTTGGTTCTTTATAGTTCCTGAAAAGCAAAGTTTTGCAGTTTGGGCTTGGTAGTCTACTTTACTTTTTTTTTCTTATTAAAAAGGCATGCTTCCTCCTTTTTTGAGTTCTTGGTAATAGAGGTGGCAAAATGGACAGGTTGGGCCGGCTCTGCATGGCCCAGATTTCTTAGAGGTAAGCCTAGCATAGCTTGTGGCCCAATTACATTGTGGGTCATACCAGGTGTGACCTCACATGTAATGGGTTGGGCAGTGCTTGGCTTGACCCAATATTATATTTTCCTTTTTTCCATATATAATTTTTCCTTTAATTATTAGTTTTTCTTATGTATTTACTATTTTAGTATCATAATTATGAAAAAAAGTGTAAAAATGAAGAAAATTAGTACATAATTTTCATGGTTCAACTTAAATGCTTATGTCCTTATGGGAAAGGGGAAAATTTTTCACTACAAATAAACAATTTTACAAGCACTAATTAACTCAAAAGGCAATAAATTTTACAATTATAAATAACAATTAACATATATCATGGATCATTGTTTCTTCCAAAAAATTAATGAGTATATCATATAAAAAAAAAATGATGGGATCATTACTTATTGGTCAACTTTAAAAAATTAAAGATGTGATAGGTGGGGACCAAATGAAAAAAAATGAAAATACGTCGTGGGCTGCCCACCCTTTATGCCATCTCTGTCTGGTAATGATACCTTGTGTCAAGTATGATAAGAGAGATTATCATATTTGTGGTCTCACTAGTGAATAATCATGACTTCCCACTAATGAATAGTCATGAGTTCCTAGTGTTTCAGAATAAATAAGCCTGAACTGCTGATTCAATGGTTGGCTTAAAAAAGGTTAAATTGTATTTATGTGGTTTTTTTAGTTATTTCACTTAGAACATTGCATTTTTGGTTTTTAAGATTTTGTGGTTTTTTAACGTTATCAAATGGGGTTATGGGGTTACTCTTCAATTTTCAGTTTTCAACTTTTTAACTGCATCTTCAAGTTACACTTTCACACTTATTGTGGTGTGTTTTGTAGTCATTGTAAAGGGAGATATAGTGTTTAAAAAGGACATCTTTTTCTGTTTTTTGATAGTAAAATATCCTTACTCTTAAAAGGTGTTTAAAAAAGAAAAAAAGAAATGCTTGTGAGTTTTGTCATTTCATGGAAAGTTAATGCTTTAACCCCTTTGGTAACAAAGTGAAACTGCAGGTGGATACATGTCAAAATTAAAAGCATAGTTGTTATGTGAAATTATTATTGTTCTTTTTAGGATTATAATGGTTGTTGTTTAAAGAAAAAAAAAGACCCTTCTTGTAGGGTTCTGCCTTTGTGATTGGCATTAATAGCTTAAAAATTGATCAGAAATGTTGTCAATAAGCTACTGTAATAACCGATTTTGTACTAATTTACTTTATATTGAATTCCTTTTGACAGGTTTATGTGGATAAAAAGCCTGTAACTGGCCTTCGACTTTATTTGGAAGGTAAAAGGGGCAACTGCTTGGCGATTCACTTGCAGCATCTTTCCTCACTGCCAAAGACATTTCAGCTTGAGGATGAACGAAGCACCTGTGTCTCTAATCCCTCTTCTGAACGCAAGTACTATGAAAAGATCCAGTGGAAGAGCTTCTCTCATGTCTGCACAGCGCCTGTGGAGTCTGATGAGGAACTGTCTATTGTTACTGGTGCTCACTTTGAAGTTGGAGACTCTGGCTTGAAGAAAGTTTTATTCTTACGGTTGCATTTCTCCAAGTTAATAGGTGCAAAAGCTATCAGGCAGCCTCAGTGGGATGGCTCTCCTGCCTTGACCCAAAAATCTGGGATTATCTCAACGTTAATCAGCACTCATTTCTCAAGTACTCAAAAACAAGCTCCTCCTCCAACTGAGGTCAACATAAACTCTGCCGTTTATCCTGGGGGCCCTCCATTGCCCAGCCAAGCACCAAAACTTCTGCGGTTTGTAGACACAACAGAGATGACCAGAGGACCGCAAGATTTACCTGGGTACTGGGTTGTCTCTGGTGCAAGGCTCATGGTTGAAAAGGGAAAAATATCATTGCGAGTAAAATACTCTCTCTTGACTGTGATATTACCAGATTAGAGATAACAATTAGACAGCATGGATCAGTTCCGGTTTAGATGAGGTATAAAAGATGAATTGCTTTGGTGTGTTGCATTTTTTTTTTCCTTTTCAATCAATTTGGGTTTAAGTCAAGTTGGTTTTGAGTGGGTTGTGTGGATTGAGTACTTGATGAAAGATACTAATAGAACTTTAAGTAGTTTTGAGAAGAGATTGATGGTTTTTTTTTCAAAAAGAAATGGTCATTTAATAGGATTTGCTGAAAAATTTAGGATTATAATTGCTTTTTCAATGCTTTCTAGGCATTGTTGATGTTCCTACAACGGCTGATGTTTCTCTGAAGGCGTCTGGGCACTGTTGATATTTAATTATTCATACAATAATATGTGTGTTTGAGCTGAACGATTCAACTTGGTTGTATATATTATAGTATTCCCCGGTTTGTTGTTTTTATTTCCATATTATTGTTTCTTTTAACGTTGTAGATAATTGTATTTCTAAATGCTATGGAACATTTCTTGAGAAATCTAGCTGCCGATGACATCTCTTTTCATTAAGTTCCTACGTTGAGTTCACTTTTATTTCATTTTTTTCATCTTCACAAGGCTGAAGTAAAATCAACTCGCTATAAAAACAAGAAAAGAAAATGAAAAATGCTTATTAGCGCCGCCGTTTTGCGTAGGCGGTGTGGTAAAAGCCAAACAGTCCTAAACGACAGGATTGGTTGATAAGTGCATATAATCATAATAAAAAAAGGTAAAGAAGGTTGAGGACGATCGCATGGTAAACAAATGTTGTGGACGAGGAAATCTGGCACAAGGTCTTTCGCTCGTACCATATGGACGCTGAGTGTTGGATTTAGTAATTTTAAATATGATAGATAATATAATAAAAAAATTATATAAAAATTTAAAAATTATTTTATAATTAATTATATTGATAAAATTTTTGATACAATATTATTGGTTTTATATATATATATATATATATATATATATTAACAAATTAACATATACAAAATAAAAAAAAAATCGTTCAAATATCACATGACATGAGTACAAGACACGTGAAACATGTTAAACACGTTTAATTTTTATTTTTGTGTTTTCCCACTCACCAAAGCGTACCGTTTATTCTATCCAAAATACAAAATTTCCCTCGCATTTCTTCTGCTTTGTCCCCTCTCTCTAGTGGTTGCTTCCTAATCCTACTTCTTTCTAAAAAGACCGAGTTGCCACCCTCAGTCGCGACAACCTTGTTTTACCTTCTTTCGGTGACCACCTAAATAAATCCCTCTTCCTCCCTTTCTTACTTTTTTTAGGTTTAAATCACTCGGAAAGAATCCTAACTGTCGAGATTGAAAACCCAAAAAAACCTTAATCTCCATCATTTTTGTTGTTGTTCTGCCACCAATCTCGGAGGAAAAACTTGATAGTTCTCCCCTTCTTCACCTACTAAATTTTAGCTAGCTTGAAGCCCTAAAAGAGCACAAGAATCCTGAGATCGAAACCATCAAAACCCTTATGTTAGCCTGCGAAACCACTTTAAACCTCCGATCAACAAGTTTGGAGCACCCAGAAAAACACTTCTATCATTTTTCAATTCTTTTCCTTTGTTTGAAAAATCAACTTAAAAGTCCTACTAGAAACTACCTGAAACCCTAATCTCTCCCTATATTTTGCAATTTTTCTCTACTATATATATATATATATATTGTTGCTTAGAAAAAATTGTGTTCCTTGCCCTGGCATGATGTGAAATTTATATATTTAGATGACGTTTGATTCACGAAATTTAAAATTTTGGTTGGGAAAGTGATTTCTTACAAAATACTTTACTTGACAAAGTTTGAGTAATGAAAGATTCTAGTATTTGATTTATTATTTAGAAACGTAAGATTTTTATGTTTGGATAAATTCTAAGATTCTTTAATGTATTCTTGTATTATATTACTTTTGATGATACATGAATAATATTTAATATTCATAAAATTATTTAAATAATTAATTTCATAATATATTTATTTATTTATTTTATAAGTGGTTTAATTAAATTAATTTATATATTTATATCACGTATAACTTACTTTAGTTACTTGTATATTATTTATTTATATAATTTAACATGTAAATTTTATATATTCTATTATGATAATAGATATTATTTACTTTTTTCAAATGATATCTATTATGATAATAGGCGATATTTACTTTCTCAAATGTCATCTATTATATATATAAATTTAAAATGTAACAGTTATATCATCTTTAATGAAGAGCCAACAATATTCTCTCTCCCTTACTTTCACTCTATGTATTTAAATTCTATTGATAACTCTATGAAATAGAGTTATTTATAGTAGTTAAATGAATTAATTTTGCTTTGTTTTTGGTGAAATAAGATTCTTTTTACTCCTAATGTGTTTAATTTGCCTTTTTGTAAGAAATCTTGAAGAAAAAATTAAATCTTGATAAGCTTTTTGATACATTTGGAGGAATATTGGATGGTTCTTGGTATGTACTTGATTAATCTTGAAGTTCTTGGTAAATCTTAGAATGGAAGTATTAAGTTGTTTACGACTTGCATTGCTGTATCTAATATTCAAGAATGTGTTGATTCTTGATGTGAAATTTATGAAATTCATGCAAAATTCAAGAAAAGGGAATTTTGGTTCAATGGAAGGCACATTTGAGAATTCCATAATTTTAATCTAAATCTATGGTGTTTTATGTAGATGTACATGCATACGCTTATTGTGGATGATATGGCAACATGTCTAATCTCATTCACCAAAATAGTTGACTTGTATGTCTATGTGGCATGCTGACATGGAATGGGATTTAAAAATCTGTCTATTAGGAAAAGTCAAAACAACCTTTGTACACTTAGTCAAAGTGGAAAATCCTAGGTTGACTTGGAATTCTCTTAAACCTATTATAAGTTGGATTTTCTAGTTTGCATGGGAGAAAACTTTGCATGAGCTAATTTAAATAGAAATAGAAGTCCTGCTCCTACTTGGAATAAAAGTAGTGTGCGTGGGTTTAAAAATGCATGAGATGTCTTAAATAAATGAGGCCTAATCCTACAAGAAGTTCTTTCTTGTCCAAGAAGTTTTAATCTTCCAAGTAGCCTCTCACCAAATTAAAGAAAGAGAGTTTATTCAAGACAAATTTTTTAAGCAATTGAAAATTTCAAAATTTTAATCTACTTGAAGAAAGCACACTTGTTCTTTACAAAAGTTTAATTTTTTATTTTTAAGAGCTACTTAAAAAGTTAAAATTGTACTTCTTTCTTCTATTCTAAGAGGTTCAAATCATCAAAAAGTCATCGAGTGAGAAGCTACTTAGCTTATTTAGCCAAGATTCTGTCCAAATTCAATTTTTAGAGGAGATTCACTTTAATCCAATCAAAATCCCTTAAAAAAGATCTCTCCCACTTAAGAAGTCCATTCAAACAGCTCCAAAAATCTTCTACATTCAAGAAAGAGCTCAACGTCTCCTTTTATTAGAGAACTTGTTCTAGTTATTCTTCTTTATAAACTTGTTCTTTAAATATCTAGCTTTAGGCATTAGAGCGAGTAATGGTTAGGGTGACAGCCAATCTTATAGTTTTCTAGGGCTTATTTACTTGTTTTCTTTATTCTTTTTAAAATTTTTTAAGTTTTCTAGTTATTTTAGGGATTGAGATGACAGACCAATCCATTAATTTGTTCTCGTTATTTAATTTTCAGAGTTTATTTTAAATTCATCTTATAATTTTTGTTCCTGTAATTGCAATTTAAGTTTACATTCTGTTTTGATTTAATTTTTGTGTAAAGCTTTTTAAATTTAAGTTTGCAATTCAATTATCTTTAAGTTTTTGTTAAGAGTTAGTTATTTAAGTTTTCAATTCAATTCATGCAATTTGAGTTTTCCAGCTACTGTTCTAGCTTAACTTGATGTTCTTGAATTTAATTAAGCATTATAAGTTTTTGATTCTAAGTTATTAGATTAGAGTTTAATATTCTTGCATGTTTTAAGTTAAATTTGCTGAAGCTTAATTCTGTTAAGTGTGATTTAAGTTTAGTTACTTTGTATGTTAGATTCAGTTTAATTTACTGGTCTTGAAGTTTAATAAGTTAATTTAACTTAGTTTAAGTTTGAATTCAATTTTTAAGTTTGATTTTTAGTTAATTAGATATCTTGCATGTTTAATTAACTTATTGGGTTGCTGCATTAGTTCAAGTATTAATTTTGGTTTTTAATTTAAATTCTAGCATATTAAATTGTTTTTAGGTTGTGATTTAGATTCAGTTTTACGTGTTACATGTTATTGCATGCTTTAATTTCTGTCCTTAATTGTTGTTTTGATTTACTTCACTTGCTATTTATTATTTTTGCATATTTAAAATTTTTTTTTTAGGGTGTTAGATTGCTCCATTTAATTCTTGCATAAATTAATTTTTTGTTTTGCTTAGTTAAATAGTTTAATTAGTTATTGCATATTGATGTGAATTTTCTGAATATAATAAAATGTGAGGCAATTTTAGTACTTGATTCACTTTTTTTTCAATTTCTGTGGAAATGAATTTTACTTTTTTTTTTATTTGATGCAATTCTGTGCACTTGCAGATAGCTCAATCATATACAAAATTTAAAACTAACTTATGAGATAATAACATCTTAAAATTTACTAAAAATCAATGTAAGTATATTAATTAAGTTAAGCGATGAGTCAATCCAATTAAAGCACTTCTTTATTTATGTATTTGAAAAGTTTAATTATTTTTTGAATTTCTTTAAATTTTGTTTTATTTACAAAAATTTATTTAAGATCGTGGAATTAAATTTGTATATGTGAAATTAATAAAAAAACATAAAAATTAACTTTTTCTAGGATTTATATTCAAATATTTAATTTATTTATTATTCAATTTAGAAGATTCACCAATAGACATTATTTTTGTGAACTAAAATATTGTAAAAATAATGAACTTCCCTTTTTTTTTTCAAAAATTTGATATTATTATCAATAAATTAATAAGTTTCATTCCTTTTTTTTCCTTGTTAAAGCCTCATCTTGCCAAGTTCTTCATCGTTTTATTAAATAAAATCAAATTAATTATAAAAAAACTAAATAAAAAATAAATAAAAATAATTGATTTAATTTTTATTTTGTATAAACTGATATTATTCCATTTGTGATGCTAGGTGTTAAACATTAAGGCTTTGAATGCCTCTGTTTGTGCCAGATGGGGGCTTGATTTATGATGCAATTCCTTTGATATTAAAGGGTATAATGGACCCTAAATACCAATTATTGAGTGTAAAAGTGGGAGAAATTTTGCATTTTACTAAGAATTTGAGAAAACTTCAATGAGAGGAAGGTTTTTGATTCTAGGCTACTTCTTTCTTTTTGACACTGTAGGAAATATTAGATTCTAGATGTGAAGGAAAAATCTTAAATTTTGTGAACCAAAAATAAGAATCACATTATAAAAAGTAGGATTCCTAACGGGAATCCCAAATTTCATGAACCAAATGCACCTTAATGTTTTTCTTTTGAGAAACTATCAAGAGTTGGGATTTTTCATTAATGTAC